GCCACTGTTAGGCTCTTTCAATCCCACAGTAAAAAGATCATGGACTGCAATAATCATGTAATCACATTAAATAAAACTGAAGAATCACTTTTTCACACAGTATATAATTCAATTAAATTGTGGAACTCGACAGSGATCTTGTGAAAGGTCCAAAGTGTCTAGCTATAAATTGATGGAAGGCAGTCTATTGGTAGYTAATTTCTCTCTCTGGAATTTTTGCTCTGGTCCTGAACAGCAATCATTACATCTTAAGGGAAACCAGGAATGCAATCTGGAGAGAATGTCAAGAACACTTTCCAAAAAGTTAAAATTTTGGACAGCAATTGAACCATATAATAAAGATTAATTTTACAGAAGAGGAAGACTGAATCATCCATGTGAAATAAGTATGTACGAGAAAAGAAGCTCACAGTGCAAGATGAACTAATTGAGAAGAAATGTAAACCAGGCCACTTCCATGTAACCCTCCTCCCGGGAGTTCAACTATCTGTGATTCCAGACCTACTTTAAGTACAACGCAGCTGTGCAACTGTTCTCAGTTTCCTTCTGAGAAAATTGCTAGGGCGTGAGAGGGAGCTGTGAGAGAGTGCACAGGCTGGAAGCATTCGAGATAAGAAACGTAAAGTTGCAGACACRAGTAAGATTGTTGAGACAGGGAAATCTGGCTCCTCAAGGATTCAAGGAACAACACTCACATAAAGGGTATAAAATCCTAATGGGAAGAAAGAAAGGGGAATTGGAAGACAGCAACTCAGCAGTAGCACAGATCAGCCTGTTCCAGTGAGCCCCAGAGGCCTGCTCTCCCCTACCTGAGTGATGACTACTTGCCCATTACACCGAGTGACTCATTCAGTGGGGGTTGATTTAATGCCGACTTCATTAGTCCTACAACGTATTGTGTGGTTAGACGATAAATAACTGGCTTTGTGCTTTTAAGGTGTTTATATCTTGCCTGAAGAATCTCTATGGTAAAAGTTCCCTGAAGAGAGTGAGTCCCAGAGGGGGAGGGTTACGTAAGTAATCCAGAATAACTGACAAGAATAATACGATTAGTCATATAGAAAAGCACTTATGCTTCAAAGCACAGGTGGGTTAGGGGATTACAGAACATACTGGACTTTTTTTCAGCAGGTGATATATATTTCAGATGATGTATATTTCAGAAAAGTTCCTCACAGCTGTATCATTGAATTAATTATATCTGAATCTGGAYACAGAATCTCATCTATCTAATGAGCCAAGAAACCTGGGAGACCAAAGCAGAAGTGTTGGGAAAGCCTAGTCTGAAACATGGCGTTCTGAATACTTATAATCCCAGGATAAGGAAATTAGAACATGCTTCCCAGAAAGCACATCATGGAAGGAAATGGATGTGCGAAAATTCTAAATTATCTAAATGAAAAAATAATTTATGAAAAAAAAAATCTAAATTTCAAAATCTGACTGGTTGAAAAAGAACTGAGAATGCTGGTGGGAGCTTGCAAGAAACACAAGTGAGTAACTTTTAAAACTACTCTTCTGATTCAAWTGCTTTTAGAAATTGCTGCTTCATTGCATTTGAACACACAGTACATATACACATAAAAGTTTGAAAGAAACCATCATGTAAGCCAGAAATTACATTACCTTGCTGGAAAAATTCATAATAAATTTTAGGAAGCTGAATATTAGATCTGTTTCTTAATGCCAGTGAGCTGCCTGGAGGACCAAAAAAGCTGAGGGAAGATGGCCTTTACCACCAGTGCCTCAAACATTCTCCATCTYTCATATGTTTGGTATTCTCCTTGCAGTGGTTTTGAATGTGCTTACCTAGGTAATTTACAAGAAAAATAAAACTGTGCTGGAAATAAAGCAAGAACTGTTCTTTTTAGGAAGACAAGAAGATTTGAAGTTCTGATCATTCCAGTGGCTATGGGAATAAGGGGTAACTCACAAAGGATAATTTTAATMATAGAATCATTTTGGTTGGAAAACACCTTTAGGTTCATTGAGGTCAACTATAAACGCAATGCTGTCAGGTTCCACTAAGCCTATCTCTAAGTGTCACAACTTCATGTCTTTGAAATACCTCCAAGGATGGTGACCCAGTCCTGGTGACTTCCCTGGGCAGCCTGTTCCAATGCTTGACAACTCCTTCCTTTCAATGAAGAAATTCTTCCTGATGTTCAGTATGAACCTTGAGGCCATTTCCTCTTATCCTCTTGCTTTTCACTTGGGAGATGAGACTGACTTCCACCAGTCCACAGCCTKCTTTCAGGCAATTGTAGAGTGAAAAGGTCTYCCCTGAACATCCTTTTCTCCAGCCTCAACAGCCCCAGCTCCCTCAGCTGCCCTTCCCATCACATGTGCTMCAGACCCCTCAGAAACTTTGCTGCCCTTTCCAGATACACTCCAGTGCCTCACCCTCTTTCTTGTAGTAAGGGGTCCAATAGAGGATATTATTATCTCTACCATCAWACCTGTCTCTACCCCTCCAGGACCCATGGCTGATTTCCCAATAGCTAAATGGAAAGAAGCACTCAATATGAACAAAGGGATTCCTTGAACCAAATTAGGTATGGCTTCAAATTCAGTGGTTGAAACTGTTTAAAATGACAGCTGAAATGCGGAAGTCATAATTTTTGTAGCCCTTCAAATATTTTTATTGCATATTAAGCATAACTTAAATTTAATCTTCTTGATCCATCTACAACTTAAGCTCCAAGGGACAGCAAACCAAGGGTACTTTGAATTCTTTTGCGGATTCTGAGTCTGTTTTTACTCTTTTTTTCAAGTGCCTGGATTTTGACCTACTCAAGTGAAGAGTCCTGTTCCTGATTTAGTGGCTTTGACCTTTATGCATTCTTTTATGAAAAACTTTCTGCAATAAGCTTTTCTCTGCCATCTGCTGAAGAAGTGAGACCTTTAAAATCAATTTCAGACAGCAGGCCTGCTGGTCAGAGCTAACTATCTCGTTCTGACAGACTGCACAATGCTTCAAACCAATTTYTTGTCCATTTCTGAAAGATTCCCGTCAATTGAAAGAAAACAGTAATAGTAAATACCTTTCTAAGCTACAGATTTTCTCAGTGAACATAATAACATTACATTTAGCTTCTACTGATTGGGGGTAATCAAATATACTCTGGCTGGACTRAACCAGATATTCTTAGAATGCCAAMCTGTTTTATTTATTATGCTCTTTTCTTGAATGACATAATTCAAAAATACCAGGTGGGAAAAATATTTATCTCTCTAGATTCCTATATTTATATAAGTACTGATACAACTATTAAACAGCATCTTCTTGTAACTCATGGCAAAAGGGGATGTTTTTCCAAGTACAGACATTCAAATGGAATATAAGCTTTAAAATTAGAGGGATATAGTGGTGTGGTCTGGTCTATACTCGTTTTGCAAAAGTATTCCTGCTAACTTCAGTGCAGGTGCTCCTCAGTTCATCAGTTTAAACAAGTTTGTTTTCAAACCACAAACCTTTAATGACATTTTAAGGATCCACTTGGGGGAGCTAAAGGGTAATTTCTTTCCAAATTGATTATGCCAAAATGGGATGCAAAACTACAGAAAACAATAAGAGCATCGTCTTCTACTTTTTTTTTCAACTCAGGGCTGGTTGATGATCCTGCAAAAGGTCCCCAGTTCTTAAAAAAAATTCCAGCCATTTAGAGAAGAAAAAATCCCAGTTATAACTAGCTTAGCAGCAGACACTTGTGAGGCATCAATCATATCCTGACTTCAATTATGAACCTGCAAGACACAGTGAATGCAAGAGATATAACACATGAGGCAGAGTTGGGTCCTTACACTACATTTTTGTGCTGGTTAACATCAATTGTGACATCAGGAAAAGAAATTCCAACATGCAATGGTTTTGTCTTTTGATTATTATGAAATACCTCCTYTTACATTTTTCTCTCTTTTCTTTGCTGGTCTCAGGCTATGCAGCAGTTGCTGTGTTGAAACACAGCTTTTCACCACAATTATGTTCTTCATTTGTCCAGCCTGAGGCACAGTGGGAGCTGTTCCTAGCATACAACTACACCAGCTGCTTTATCTTATGCTTGATTGACTGTGGTCACTGGTAGTCCTTTGACTGTTCTGGGACTCAGGCACTAATCAGAGGAAGAGATGCACTATGTCCTACACTGGAAGAAAGAGCAGACCCTTTTGTGTCTCAAGAATCAGTAACATATGATATCAGGCTTTTSTCCATGTTAGAGGCTACCCTAAAACTTCATATAAACTGACATTACTGCTGATTTCAGAAGTCACAGCAAAGCTGCAATAAACCATCTTTTATAAGAGGAAACAATTCAGTTTCAGACACATAACTCACATGAAATTCCACTTGCAGAGCTGTACTGTCAGTATTTTTCACTGTAACAATACAAACTCCACTATAACAGTACAAACTTCATCTCATTCCAAACTACCGTGCAGTGTAGTCCACATCACAGTTTATGGTTGCCCATAAGTGGGTGTCTAACTGAATTGAGTCATGTAAATGAAGTTGCAAGCAAAAGTGATAATTAAATTAAAAATTGTGTTCTTTTAGTGTAACTTATTAACTATAAGGCTTCCTTATTTTAAGTCTGATTTAGCTGGAGCATGTAGAAAAAGTGAACTGCAAGTATCACTACAGGAAGTACTGTTTTTAGGCACTTTAAAAGCAAAGACATGTGCTCTGTAGCTATGAACTCTCAAAATATATTGTTAAATGTCATTCAGCATCCTGAAGGCAAACACAATCACGCTGATTGAATACCCTGCTAAAGACAATGGCAAAGTAAATGGAAGCAAAGGGTACAGTCAACCCAGCTACAGGCAGGAAAGGTCTGTAGTCAGGTAGTCATTAACAGCACTTGATGACTGTATTTGTAGTGCAAATTGCTTTTCTGTGTTCTCCTTGAACAAGTACTATATAAGACTTATACAAGAATAAGAACAAGTACTATATAATGTATTTGGGAGGAACTACTGCTATAAATTCATCAACTTACATTAATTAATTCAATCTCCCATATTTTTTTCACAAGGTCCATCGACGTATAGCCATTAATTAGAAAGGATTTGGTATAGTCACCCAGTTCAATGGAATCCAGCCATTCAGCTACAGAGGAGGGGTTGTAACCATCGTGACCGATCTGCTTCATCTGAAAAACAAGAATGAGCAAAAATTACTGCTGATACTCATTAAACACCTTTCAGAACAGGAGTTACATGTATTATTTTCCTTGGGTCCATTAGCTTATTCTCTGATTGATGTTCTTTTAATGTTTAACACAACATGGAACAATTGTGAGCAAAAGCAGTAATGAAACTTAACTTTCAATGTATCTTTTTCTTATGGCTGCTTGCCTTTTACACCAGAGTATACTAAGACTGTAGCTGGAGATCAATTCTTGCTAGATATCAGAGAATCCATAAGTGGGGGAAGACAAAAGGCTGAAAGACACATTAATATCCTTACTGCCCAAAAATGTCAGATTTTCATAGAAGGGGAAGAAATTAGACTTTTTACAAGGACCATTAGAAATTGTTCCTTTGGTATCATACTGCAAATGAAATATATGGTCTTGGTTATATTATTCCAAATTTATCTTTTTTACCAGGCTATATGTTATTTTATAATGGTTGAACCTGCACTGTATTTTTCTGCCCCCGGGGAAGGTTTAAAAAAAAAAAATCTCTTTCCTCTACCTGCTCGCATTTTTCATGGAACTCCTGGGAATTGGACATATTTTAGATTGCTCACTGTCTGTAAAGTTGTCTGAGACTGGACAATTGAATCAGATATTATTGGAATGGAATTGACAGAATAATGTACACAGAAGTGCACCACTTGCATACATACAGAAACACTGTCAMCTAATCGCATAAATCTTGTTTTCATAAAAAGCTAAGAAATACCACTTGCATCTATTTTTTCTGAATTTTTTTAAGCTACCAGGAAGTAAAAAGCTGCAATTTCTCTTTCACAATTGCCTCTCAGTGACACAAGTGAAGACTTTCAAGCTAGCCATTAAAGATAAAAAYGTATAAAGCCTCTACCTGTGCAGTTTGTTACGCCACACTGCTTTTATGAATTTTAAAGTAATCTACAGTAGTGGCAGAAATAGAAGTAGAACGAAGTAGAAAAAAATTATGCAATAGCCTCAATTTTCAACAGTATTCTGCACATATTGTCTTTCTGTGGAAGTGTATACRCTGAACTGGTAAATTTTAAGAAGCTTTAGAGGTTTAGAAACCATGGGTTTTGCATAGGATCTCCTGACTGTGCAAGGGTGACTGTGAACAGTCACCATGCCAGTCTCTCATTTTTGCCTGCCAATATACATTCCTACTTTATGAGAAACAATGGAAGTGTGACAGAAACATAATGCTTTCAGCTTAAGTTTGAAGTGAGCGACAAAGTAATTTAAAAAGGAGAGAATCCTGATCTTAATATCTTGCCTGAACTGATTTATTTCTCGCAATTTATTTGAAATACAATTTAAATTCAGAGCAGGGAAAAAAAATAAAGTCTGCATTTGAAAGACGCAGCAGTGTGCGTCGATCTGTCTGTTTGAATGCCGAAAGCCAGCATGTCATGGTCTGGATCTTGGCTTCCTGCAGTGTCAGAGAGGAGTGATGCAGGCACACTGCAATGTGAATATGAGAGTTTACTCATAGCTTTTTTACTGCAGATGCTGGGTGTAAAATAATGGCAATATTTAAATGATGTAATGAAATAATTATCTTAAATCATAAAAGAAAGACAAGAGAAATCAGTTAATTAGCAGTGGAAATCGTAGCCTTTCAGGTCACTGCTGTAACAACAGAATCACAAGGAAAGAAAGAGCCCAGTTTTGTTGTTGAACTTGATATTTTGGAATTTACTTCCATCTTAATTTAGGATGAAATTATTCTATGTCTTCTTTCATTGTCATTCAGAATTAAATATTACATTGACAGTAGTCTGTCCAGCAGACTGCAAAGACTTCGGAGGATTCTGGGAGCTCTGGGTCCTAGGAAACTTCTTTCAAGTTCTGATTTTAAACAAGGAATGCTTAAATAGCAGACACATGAAAAGCAAGAACCTGATAAATGGAAGAAAAAAAATCTACTTTAGAGAAGACATGAAAACATACAGGGCCCATAGGGAACACATGAGYTCTGGAAAATATAAGGCATTTTTGTTTCCTTTCTCTAACAAAGAAAACTGAAGCACMGTGCAAACAATTTCCAATGTATCCAGATGGGGGACATAATGCAAATTATTTCTTTTGTTTATTACTATTTGATTGTTACATTGAATAGATTCTGATTTTAATATTTTTTGGCCTGCTGATTTGAGAAAACCCATGCAGTCTGGTCCATTCTTTTGGTAACCCATCAGCCTCTATGAAAAGTAAACATAACATGGCAAGTTTTTAAATTCTCAATTCCCAGTGGAGATCTCCATCAAAACGGTTGTTAAAACTGATATTCCTCTACTACAACCAAGTTGCAYAGGGCTGTAGGCAAGTAAACACAGATGAACAACACAATAAAACAAAAGGACAATTGAAATGGATGTGACAATTTCAGTCTTTGGATTTGGGGCCAACAGACAAAATTGTTCCTGSGTTACTCAATAGCCTGCATGAAAATACACTGGCCTGTTGTTGGGCAACAGCTGATTCTGCAGGCATTTTGCCTCTCCCTGTCTGGGAGTTTTGGCTGCCCATACTCAAGGCCACACTGCAGGTAGTGCAGCCCCTTAGCCTTGGATCAAGCTCGTGTGATGAAGAGCAGTGAGAAGCCTGGCCAGGGCCACCCCACCTTTTGCAGGAGCTGCATGTGAGCTCAGGCCCATGTGCTGGCACTCGCCTGAGCTATGCTGTAGGCATGCCTGAGCCCAGCCAGGCACCTTTGCACATCCTCAACCTGACTCACCCTTCAGAGTAACCCTGTCCCAACCTCATCCCTGTGGACGTCCTGTGGATTTGCCCTGGGATGTGGCTGTTCACGGACAGTGTCCTACTCAGCTTGTCCCAGTGCTTTCTGTACACTGTCCCGCTGAGCATCCCAGCCCTCCTGCCCTGGTAGGACAGTTGCTGCTGTCACAGGAAATTAATCTCAGAACTAGAATATTTACTATTACTTTCAGCAYAGAAGCAGTATTTTGTTTTGTCATGAACTGAGAACCACTCTCTTATGTAAAACAGGCTTTCAAAAATGAGTCTAAAATGAAAATTAATAAAATTTCATTATCTGTCCTCTTGTATGGAAAGTTTCTTCCTGTCTTTTATTAACATCAACTTTATTAACTGTCATTCACAGTTACCTGAATGTTTTCTTTTCAAATACTTACTGACAGACATATTGATTATCTAGATGTGAGATTATCATTAATAGTATCTGCTTTTCATATAACATGTTGCCGAGTTTTTAAATGAAGATACTTTGAAATATCTGTCTGGAAATGCGGCCTCTTTACTTTGTCAGAGATCCAGTTTAGTTGCATCTTATCCCAGTTTTCATTAACAAGTCATGGCTCTTAGATTGTATCTTTTCTTCTCTACTGCACTATTACCTTGGACTCCTCTCACAGATCATTTACACCCTGTAGGCTTCCTTGTTGATTGATATTTCTTGAAAGAAAAGTTCCCTCCTACCTCCTGAGTGYAATTCCATGCATTTCAATCATTTTGCACCAGCTACAACACAGTCACCAGTGGTGTCAAACATCCAGGCAAGGTGCACACTGACTCAGATCAGGGTAAAATCTCTGAGCTGCAAGTCATGACAGGGTTTCAGATATTAACCGCTCATAAATAGGGGCGCTATTGTTCTTACACAGACACCACTATTAGTTCATTCTGTTGTTTTGAGAGCAATACCAATCTTAGCTCTTTCATTGCAGAGGATTTTCATGTGCCGACTGTGGAAAAATGCTAGGAATTGAAGCCCATAGGATTTAGAGAAAAAGAAATGAAGGAAAGAAAATATCAAAAAAATATCCTTAAAAAAAGTAGGGAAGAAAATACAAACCATACGAGATTTCCCTCCTAGGTCCTATTGATTTATCTAGTATTGCTTCCTTTGAAATGAATAGAAAGCAGAAGACAGAGCTGCTTATAATAGCAAAGTCAASTAGTATCCTAATAGGTTGAGAAATCCCTCACAGGAGACCATCTATACAACAGACTTTTAAAAAAGTATATATCACTGCTGTACCTGTACAGCATTTTACATGAGGATAAAAGGTACTTGAGTTTTTTGTCTCTGAAAGATGGTCAAATAAACACAAATTCAGCTTCAAAGTGATCACATATGCACCAGAAACATCAAGGTAGATTCAGTAGCAYGGATCTATTACCAATTTTCTCTGATCTTCTCAGACAGATGGGGAATTAATACTATGTTCTCCAAAGATAATACCACTATCTGGTGGAATTTTAACGGTATGTGCATCAAAATCAAGCTCTTTAAGTGCTGCAAGAGGTGGATGAGATTACTTGATTTTTCACAGCTTTTTAAATGATGGCTATGATTACAGTGAGTTTACACTAGTRAATTCTTTATTCTTTGGAGGAAAGGTCTTTTTTAGCAAAGTATATAGTGCTTTTTTTCACACTGCTGGCCCATCCAAGAGATTTGAGCAGCATTTTTGGCAACTTCTATGAAACTATCAACTACCTAACTAAGACATTTTAGMTGATTGTAATGGGGGATATATCAGTTCTTTTTTGTTTCCTGTCTCTGTGAGCTGTCTGTTATATATTGTGTACTTTACAAACATGGTCAGTTGGAGTCACATTGTCAGGAGAGGAGATCACTCCTCCTCGGGACTGTTGAAGGACAAGGCTCAGAAGAGTGACACTGCTAAAGTCCAGAGAGCCTGGCTGGTACAGGGGCACCACATGGAGCTGGTGCCTGCAGAGCCTGGACAGAATCTGAGCCTGCAGGCAAGGAAGAGCAGAAGGGCAGCTTTCACATGGGATGGGCACAAACGATGAAGGACCTGAGAAGATTTTGCATGTGCTGCTGTTGAGAAACGAACTGAGTGAAAACAGGATCTGCCTGCACAGACACAGCAGGTGGGGAAGAACAAGGTATAAATCTTTTGGGCTTCTATTCTATCTACCCTGTCTTGTATTTTAAAAGTTAACTATTCAAGCTTGTGTTC